AAGATAATAATATGCAATATATTAACCATTGTTAATTTTCTACCATCTTGTTTTGAAATTCCGTATTGTTATTTTTGTTGTTTTTCTCTCTTTAAAATTCAAAAAGAAAGAAAGAAAGACTATTGTACAAAAGTAAAAAAGAAGAAAAAGAAGGAGAAGAAGAAGATGCCCATGTGGCAAGGGCCTGAGAGTGACTCCAGCCACCAACTGTGTGGAATTGTGTCAACCACATGAGCATGCTTGAAAGTAAATTTTACATAAGTCCTCAGATAAAACAGTTTACGACATGACTGCTACTGTGTGAGACCTTGAGCCATAGGTACCCCGCTGAGCCAGACTTAGGGTCCTGACCCACAGAAATTTTACCATGATAACAAGTTACTACTAAGTTTGGGAAAAACTGCTTGCACAGAAACACCCTGAGACAGATCTGAAATCCTTGATATGATATATTTCTGAGCTCTCCATATCTGGTTTGACTCGTATTTTTTTCTTACCCAGCATCATACATAAATCTTATGTGCTAACCTTTCTGAACCAAGTATTTCTCCTGAATCATTTTTTGTGTGCCTTTTCTAATAGCCAAGAACACCCTTTCCCTTTTTATCCACCCATGGATATTTGGGTCATCTATATATGCCTAATTTATATGCTACCTTCTCTTTGATGCTTTCTGCATCATTCAAAGTGGAAAGATGATTGATCTATTTTATAGACTTTCCTGCCTGTGATGCCATTTACTTTTGCCATCAGAGAGACCTGGATTAGTATTCCACTTACAGGTTTTTGGACCCTGGTAAAATTACTTCATTATATTTTAATTTCTTCATTTTCAGTATGGAGATAGTAATAGTGTCTATTTTATTCTGTTGCTAGCACTCCATAGCAATACATGACCTGTAGACATGAACACAACAATTGTTGCTAGCTTTGGTTTTAATATCTTATAGTGTAGCTAATTATGGGTAACTAGTCACAGTTATTTAAATATGCAGAAATCTGATGAAATCATATTTGGGGTTGTAGTGGTATAGCATATACTTCTTTGTACCTAACCATCACCCAATTTGTGTTGCCTGAAGTTAATGAAATGATTACTGGTTTCATGTACTTAGCTGTTCTAACCACATTCATATAGCAAGTAGAGTCAAATCAAAATAAATACCAGGAAAAATGTATGACTCCCGTGGTATCATGAAGAGCAAGATTCTAACCATGACAATTTGTCTCCAAAATAACATCGTTCTAACAACCTCAGGAAGACAGTAGAATTATTTTAATCTTGGACTGGGTTTAAATTCAGGTGATTCACCATTGGCAGGCAACACTGAGTAGTACTGAGAAATCTAGTCGGGGAAGCTGAAAGGTCTGAGGAAGACCCAGGTGAAATGCAAACAGTGTACATCTATTGATTTGAATGTGTTCTGTCCTCACTACCTTTCTCACAACACTCCCTGCCCGGGCTTACTAAGCAAAGGGACCCAAAACAGTATATATTTGATTTGGTTCTCATCCAATTGGTTTGTAACCAGAATCATGAAAAGAATTAAATTCACGAACTGAGGTATTAATATATATATACACATATATATATACCAAAGGGACAAAAACCATCTTGTCAATGAAAAGATGAAGTTATATAAAAGCAAAAGAACATTTAAAGATCAGGAATTAAAATTATAAGAGACAATATTAAAACTTTCAGTTCCAATCATGAATGAGTAAGTTGTATGGGAACAACCCCCCTGCTGAAAACAGCAATAAACAGAGGAAATACACAAAGCTACTGTTTGAAGGCATTAGAGGGTAGAGCTCAAGAAGGGCTATAAGACCTGAGGAAAGGAAGCCTAATTAAGTAAGCTGTACGTTCACCCAGGCTTTTTACCTAAAGGCTTTGCTAAATCCCGAAGGAAGGACTGAGGGAAGGAGTCAAAACCAAGTCTGCCTGAGGAGGAGGATTATAGACTTTCATTCTACCAGCTGCCTAGTGGCTGAGACCTGAGGAGCAAATATCCTGAAGAATATGGAAACTGTTAAGAAGTGAGCCTAAAGTGTAATTTCCTCATGAGGCATTTGCCTACTGCTGTGTTGGATATAAGCAGAAGAATCTCCAAGAAACTTCACAAAATTTACAAGACCAAAAACCAGCAATTGGAAAGCCATAGAGATGAGCAGAGTTTTCAACAGTCCCATGATGCCGCGACACAGGGTTGGAATTCCAATCCTGCCAAGTGAAAGAATTTTGGTTGGCACCATGGATTTTCAGTTGAGGTCCAGAATGTCTATTCCCAAAAGTACGAGCTCTGACCTAAGGACAAAGCATGAACATCATACTGTCCCCAGCAAAGCGTGAAACCAGCGCTCAGCATGATGAAGGTGATCTGCTGCAATCCATCTGCTTCGGGGGAGAAGATGTACTTCTCCTCTTTGGAGGGAGCTGCAGTTCTTCAGCAGCTCTTCTGTCTTTTGGGTACAAAGTGCTATGGTCAATGAAAAGATTTACAGAGTCTTAGGGGTAAAAAAGACAAAATAATCAATTATCAAAAAATCAACAGGGGCTGAGGATATAGCTCAGTGGCACAAGTGCTTGCCTGGCAAGTACAAGGTCCTGAGTGCAGTTCCCAGTAAAACAAAACAAAACAAAACAAAACAAAACAAAACAAAACAAAACAAAACAAAAAAAACACAACACAAAAAATCAACAATAGATGATTTAAAATTTCAGGGTTAGCAGACAGGGATTTTTTTTTTTAATTTTATTTTTACTATGGTTAGGGATACATAACAAAGTTGATCATTTTAACAAATTTTTTTTTTCTTCTGGTACCGGGAATGGAACTCACGGGCTTGCGCTTGCCAGGCAGGTGCTGTGCCACTGAGCTAAATCCCCAGCCCCTCGTTTTAAAAATTTTTAAGGCATAATGTTTGGTGAAATTATGTACACTCATGCTGCTATGCAAACATCATCACCATGGAACTCCAGATCTTTTTTCATCTTCTCAAACTGAAACTCTGTACCCATTACACAATAATTCTCCATTTTTTCCTGCCCACAGTCCTTGGAAACCTCTATTCTTATTCCTATCTCTAGGAGATTGACTACTCTAGGGGCCTCAAATAACATGAATCATACAATATTTGTCATTTTGTGACAGATTGGCTTATTTCTCTTAAAATAAGGTGTTCAAGTTTCATCTATATTTTAGCATAGATCACAATTGCCTTCCTTCTTAAGGCTGTCAAATATTTTATTGTATGTATGGACCACATTTTTTTTATCCATTTACATCTAATTGTCAGTGAAATTTTGTGTTGCTTTCATCTTTTGGCTATTGTGAATAATGCTGCTCAAAACATGGGTCACAAATATCTGTTTGAGTCCCTGCTTTCAGTTCTTTTGGGTACATACCAAGGAGTGGAATTGCCAGGTAATATGACAATCTTTTGTTCAATAGACTGAGATTTCAAAAAAACCTATAAGATGGGGAATTTACACTAAAATTCTTCCCATTTTACTGATAAGTTAGCCAAGGCCAAAAAGTTTATGTAACTAGTCCAATTTCTCATGGGTGGCAGGAATTTGAACCTAGGTGCTCTTCGTACAGATTTTCAGCCTCTAAATTATTTTGAAAATGTACTTTTGAAAACATAAGCCAGATGTGGTGACACATACCTGAAACCCCAGCTACTCAGAAAGCTGAAGCAAAAGGATTACAAGTTTGAGGTCAGTCCCTGTCTCAAAAAGTAAAATAAAAAAGACTAGAGACAGTTCAGTGGTAGAGTGCTTGTCCAACCTCCACAATGCTCTGGGTTCAACTCCCAGTAACTCCCACCCCAAACATTCACACACGTTTTTCTTTGGCTAAGTGGCTTCTTGCCATTTTATGAAAATAAATGGAAAATTGAGAAGCCAGATTGCCTGGTGGCAGCACTTCTTGTAATGTGACCTTTACATTTTTTTTCAAAATCTTCTTTAGGACAATGGGGCACCACTTAATATATTTTGGCATGGGATCTGATGGGCATGTTTGAGACATGAGAAATATCGACATGGAGAACAGAAGGTCCTGTCTTTCTCCTTAAACTCCAAATTGCTCAGGGCCACAAATACAAACCATGGGCTTAAATTTGACACTCTCAATTTCCTCCTTTCATGTTTGTGGATCTTATTCTCAGGATGCTGACATTCTGCCTTTTCTACATCCCTGTCTTCATTCCTTCCTCTATCCCATCATCTGTCTTATATGTTTAATCTTTTTGCTACACCTACTCAGAACGTGATGGCTTTTGATGGCAGGCATCTCCAGTGATGGGGCATTCCTTGGGGAAATCCATTTTCTTTCAGTCTTGGCAGGGAAGATCATACATTTATTACATAGAACAAAGGGAGTATTCATGAGGACCTTAAAATTCCCAATATATTTGTCTTTAGCTCTTTTCCTGAAATTCTTTGTTCACCCAGGTTACATTTCTGTGTGCCTCAATCCTATATTGATCTCTTATTTAAAACCTTCTAATATGATTCCTTTCCTTTCCTTTCCTTTCCTTTCCTTTCCTTTCCTTTCCTTTCCTTTCCTTTCCTTTCTTCATTCCTCTTCTCTTTCTCTTTCTCCTCTTTCTTTCTATCTTTCTTTCTTCTTTCTTTCTTTCTTTCTTTCTTTCTTTCTTTCTTTCTTTCTTTCTTTCTTTCTTTCTTCATCCTTCTTTTCCCTTCCTCCTTCTGTCTCTCTCTTACCCTCTTTCTTCAAAAATGGGCTATTTGTTTTATGAAAAATATTAAAATTAATAGCTCCTTTGTGATGTTACACAATTACATTATCAAATATTTCTTAATTTTTCTGGGAGAAAAATTTTCTGTGAGACCCAGTGTCCTAAAGCTTAGAAAGCTTTCTGATAGAGAAGATGAGAAGGCCAAAGAACAATATTCCAACTAAAAACAGATACCTATATCTTTTCCATGTTTATGTCATTTCCTTTACCAGTCTCATAAGAATACTTACAAACCCATCAAGCACATAATATTTGGTATCTGTCCAGGCATACACAGCGCTTGGTTAAGCAGCCTACCAGGTACCTAAAAAAAAAAGACACCATTGTGGCTTCTAAATTCTTAATTCTGCAATAAAATGACTGCATGAGCAGAATAATTTCAAGTTATATTTTTCTATTAGTCTTTTGAAAAAAATCCTGAAAGCCACTACAAAAATGTTAGAGATTTGGCCAGCTGGAAAATGCATGTGCATTTCAATCCCTTCTAGCTCTTCACACCTCTTATATAACCATTCTCAATTACAGGAAAACCCCCACCAAAACTATGAAGGGACTTTCCGGACAGAAGTAAACTGTCCCCATAGGAAATAAAAATCTTCAAAGTGTCCTTTGCATTGAACTTGTTTCTCTTCCTACGACAAATGGACACATCAAACATAAAGTTTAATTGAGACACACTAAAGTAAGGGTCTGGCTCACCTGAATAGAAGAGGTTACAGCATTCCATTAAGGAGACAGCGAGGCGCTAACAACACCTCGACTACCTTATGTTACATGATGTTGAACCTCTAATCACTGTCGGCTGTTTGGACCATCATTTACTGAGGATGTCAACAGCTTCCCATTAAACTCCGCAGTGAGATTCTATTTTACATTTCTTTCCCTGTGTTTGTGCTAATTTAAGAGCCAGTATACATATTGACAATTCTTTGACAGCAAGGAAAAAACCACCAGGAGTGTATCTGTTTATTGAGGACTGACAGCTTTATAGCTAACATAAAAATAATCTAATGTTTATTGGGGCAAATGTTTGGACTGAGGATTAAGTGAAACTACTGAACAGAGAAAATCTTTTTATCCTGTTCAGACTTTTCAAGTAAGGTTTGAAATCTACTACATAAAACTTTTTGTGTCGATTTCCTTTAAAATTCTTCCCTTCATTCTTCGCATTACTCAGTGCCTTGTATGTTGCTCCCCAAGGTATGTTTTATGATAAGTTTTATATTAAGTAAAATTTTTTAAAGGGACATGCTACTGTTCTGAGACTCATTATTATAGAATTTGCATGGCCCCTGCAAATCTTTCAGATAACAGTAAATCAGAATCTAAACCACACTGCTCATCACATAATTTTTTTCTATTGTTTTGTACAGCTTATATATAATAAGAACCCTTGCATTTTTTTATTATTGTCATTTTGGTTTTTTATTTCAGTCATTATTGAGAATAAGAAGCACAACTTCTTTGCAATTACTCTAAAACTGCTTTTAAACTATTGAGGACTCTGTTTTTTCCTATTGTTTTGCTTTAGCCAAGCATCAACATTAGATTGTTTTCTTTATTTTTAATGAGACACTTGAAAGGTCTTAAGAAATAAGCTCCTCTTTCTATAAGTGGAAATGCTGGTCATTTGAAAATAGTTAATTGATTAAAAATAGTTAATTAAAATATTGTTAGATTAGCAATGCTTGACTAGAATTTTTTAAAAGATGTTAGTTATGATCACCAGTAATATTTCATTTCCTAATATTTTTTCCTCCAATTACAAAGAATTTTACGTTCATGCAGCACTTCCTAGCACTAGTCACATCAGCTATTACTACTTCTTCCTTTGCCACATCTCCCATCCCAAGCCCTCTCCTGATCCTGTTTTCCACTGAGAAAAACATGAGGGAGGAAAAAATGAGGCAACTTGTTAAAGGTAGCCCTAGAGCTCCTGTAGAGCTAGGAATAGAAACCAGGCTTCCCAGCTGAGTCCAGTGTCCTGAGGCAGTTAACTATGTTGGTTCTTTCCCTTTCAAAAGACTGTCTCCCTTTGGCAAAGCTGATATGTGATCAGTCGGTAGCCCAGTTTTCAGTTTCATCTCTGAAACTAATGTCCTGATAGCCGTAGGTCTTTTTTTTGTGTGTGAAAATGTGCTGTGTGTCTACATGTGAATAGAGCTGAAGAGAATCTGGAAATATCAGAATCTTGCAGCAGCTGAGAAATAGTTGTTTCAAAGCATTTATACCAGATGTGCACCTCAGACTAATGAGCACTTCACAATAAGACTGTAGTGAGCTACTTAGCCCAGGATTCTGTAGCACCAGTGTGGATGCCTTGGGATGCAACAGAATACCTGAATCATACATGGAATTTAACAACTACTTGCTGAACTAAACTGTATTACAGTGTTTAACTGTTTGAAGATAGATCTGGTCCTTTTTTAAAAAAGAAATTGTGTACCATGCTTTTCATTAACTAAATGAAATATGTGATTTATGCCTTAATAGATTAAATCTATTCTTAAATTCTTCCTGCATTGTGCCCATGGTAGTGCTGTGTGCCTGGATTTTAAGGTGTTTAATGCCTTTAAGTGGTAGCCCGCTGGCAACTGAGGCACTTAGGGGATGTTCGTTTTGTTCCTAGAGCATCAGCTTGTTGGCTGCTCTTGAGAGCTTCCTGACTGCAAGGCTGTGTGAGCCCTTCTGATTTCCTTTGCACACTACTCCTCGTCCTTAACAAACCTCGTCTCCAGAAACCACAGTCCTTCACATGTCCCATGGCTGTGACTTCTTGACACAGTGCTTTGCATTTAGGTTACACTTGTTCTGAGGAGGTTACATACGGTGCTGTGCTGCATCTGAAGCCTGTACCTCCTCTGCCGCAAGTCTCCAGAATCTGCCTCTTGCTTTTCAGACACAGCTCCTGGAGTTTACATGGTTCTCAGTTTCATCCTGTGGTTCCTGGTTCCTCCTCTAGGCTGGTGACAGGAATCTCAGCTTGGCCCCCTGCCAGTTCATTCCTGACGTCCTAAGAAAGCCTGGTTGACTTCAATAAGGCAGATCCATCACACAGCTCTAAAGTGTATGTCTTGGGCCCACAAGATCCCGGTTTTAGAAATAAACTTTTCCTCAGTCTGGGGTGTCTATGATTAGAAATTGAGAGGTTACAAGAAACCTCTAATAAATCTGTGCTTTCTTTAAAACAAAACACAAAAACCTCTAACTCTAAGCGATTGATGTTTTATTTTACACTTTAAGACATCTGGACCTTTGTTGGACTTTTGAGGCAAGCAGAATTGTCGCACAGATGTGGGACACTCTCCCCTCGAGAAGTTGAGCTGTGGTAGTTGGCCCAAAGGATGGCAGTACAACAGAGCTCTGTCCTGAGTAATATTCTGTTTGAAATGGATTGGTTGGCTTGTAAATTAAAATGGCCAAAGTGGACCCCTTTCTGTCAATATTGTAAAATCTGTAAGATCTTAATAACAAAATTAAAATAATTTTTAAGCTTATGCCACTCAGCAGGATTTTTAAAATCATTTTCTAATTTTGTTTTTCAAAAAGTGGCTTTCCTCAAAACCTCTATAACAAGATCAATTTCAATACACTGTTAAACTGTATCTTTAAGATTATTATAATTGTTATAGCCATATTAGGGTAGCTTGGAAATTCCCTCATTACCTCTTGATTCATGAAATCGTAATGAAAGAGGTTTTCACTAGGCTGGTCTAGTGGCCCCCAATAATAAAAGCATAGTTATGGTAAGAACAAATGGGGTAAATCCATAAATTCATGCTGCAAGTGAAACTGGAACAATTCGAAATTTATGAGAATTTTATATTGTTGATTTTTGAGTCAATTTCATATCTGCACTGAGCCATTAACATAGCAAGCCTTTAACTTTCATTCCTTGGACAAGAGTCTTATTGTAGTAGGATGTTTATATACATCAACAATACACAGCTCTACAAGTAAATTTTTGATCCATTATGTAATTACACTTTCCAATCCTGTTTGAGTCTGAAACAAGCACATTTCATTTGGTGTTGCCTGTTTGGTAAAAGACTCATGCAAATCAGTGATTAAACATCACTAAAAGTGAGGATTAAGTTTTCCTTCTTGTTTTGAGAAAATAAAAAACACCTTTGGGAAGAAATGAAAAGGTGAGCATCAGTGAGCGGTAAATGCCTTCTTTGCTCATTCATACCCGCTGTTAACGCTCGCTGCCCTGTCCTGATTGTACGCTTTCATTGTCTGCCTAGTGTTTTCCCTGCACTATGTAGCCCTGGCCGCAGAGCTCCCCGCCCCTGTTTTTTACACATTTGCCTTAATGGTTGCTGATTGACAACTTCATCGCTATTAACTATTTATTTTCCTTTGAGGTCACATCATATTCACTTTCCAAGTCTGTATTCTTTTCATAGCCCAATAAAATAAATGTGTTTCATGAACTTCTTTGATTTGCTTCTTCTTGCCAAGTTTTTTTTTTTTTTTTTCCTACCTCTTTACTGATCTCCACAAAGAGTGTTTTACTCTGGGTCTCTTGAAGGTGTGTAGGAGTTGATGAAGTTCCTTTGTATACATAGAACCAAGCCAAAACTTGCCATTTGGAAGATAAAGCCAGAGAGAATAAAGGCCATATGTCAATACAGACAAAAAGACTGACTGCAGCTATTTTTTTTTCCCGTGTGTGGTGTTTATAGTTGTTTCTGTGGAAACTGCACATGGATTTCTGAAGATTGAATTTGACCCTGGGGATGTACACAAGTAACTGAGAACAGTTGGTCCTTTAACATGGGGCTCATCGTGTACTTAATGCTTGGACCTCTCCCTTAACTCCTAACTGCAAATAACATGATGTGTGTGAGACCGTGAGGGTGTTCATGCTGGGGGTTTTGTCAGTCTTATTTGGGGAGGAGAGCAAATGGCTGAATAAGGGTTAAGAGACACTTCTCTTTACAGACAGTCCTGAGGTACAGAGTGGTGTGTTAGCTCTCTGTCCATACTCCCTCACAGCTTTGAGTGTGAGCCCAAAGCTCGTCCACTTTTTCTCTTCAGATACTCCCATTAGTGACTTTACCAAGAACAAAGTAGCTCCCTTATCTGTCTCTTCTATCGCTATCACCTATCTCCTGTCACTATTGAGTATAAATAGCTGATTGGGAGGTTTCAATTCTGTTGCATTCCCCACATAGAATAGAGAAGTGATAAGATTACAACACCTTTGCCGGTGTTTCCCTGCTTGTAGCTCAATGTGTGCAGATATGTTTATGCTTAACGAGGATAGTTTTAATTTACTCAGATGAGGAGAGACAGTAATGCCAGGATAAGATGCCATGTTTGAAGGTTAGAGCACTTAGAGGAAGGCAAGGATTAGCAAATAGGAACCAGGGAGTGAAGTTTTAGGAAGAGAGAACCAGAGAAGACCACTTTAAAGTGTTGGGTATGAGATGTGGTAATCTGTGATAATCATAAAAATGCTTTTCCCCGATGGAGCTCCAAGTGATGCTGGCCGCCTGAGTCCTCTTTCAGTATGCACAGTTCCAGAATTAATCCTATAAATTATTTTTAATTTGTGTAATGAGAGAAAATATTGTACTGAGACAGTGGAAGGAGTACATGTTTTGGTGCTGATAGATTAAACTGTAGAATCTTAAAACCCGAAGTTTACAGACTAAATACAAGGATTAATTTTTGCTACATAAAAATATCTGCTCCAGGTGTCCGTTCTAGATTTTTCTGTGGGTCATTTGTTGGATAGTGTCCTTTGTGTGCCCAGCAGTTGCTCACACTTTGGACATTTCACAGTTTATTAGCAACTTGATCACCAACCAATTTTTCTATTTATTTAATACTTGGACCCACGTTCCAATGGAGGAGGGGTATGGTACAGCTCTTGACTGTGGGTTTTCAATTGCCCATGTGATCTGCCTTTCATTAACAGCAATAATTGGGTACTGGACACATAGAATATAGATTCACAGCCTTCCAAAAGTACTGCTTGAAACAAGAAATTTACAGGCCTCTGTTAAAATATCTTCAAAAGGATCATGTTTGGTGGAGGTTTCAAATATGAGACCTCAGATATACACTCTCTTCTCTCCCTCGCTCTACCACAACTCTGTCTCCTAAATATAAAATATTACCCTACTCTGTCCCTCTTTAGGACTAGCCTGGGACTCATCACATGGGCCACTGGCGTAATTTTAAGTCCTCTAGCCATAAGGTTCTGTGGGGGAATAGTTGACCCAATGATACCTCAGAGTATTAAAAAAAGAGACAACACTTACCTAGTTACACTGAACATTTGTAGTAGTTGCATTTACAAAAGACAAAATGTAACTGCTTTTTAGAACTTTTTAGTGAAGTAAGTATAGTGCAACAGAGAAAAGTACACATAGGTGTACAATTCAGGGAATCTTCACAAGTTAGATACCCACACATGCAGCTCTCGGAAGCCTCCTGCTGTTTCTTTCTGTTATGCCCCACCCCCACCCAAGGTAAGGCCCAGCCTAGTGCTGACTGTAATTTTCACATATCCTCTCGTTCTCTCATCAGGTTTATTGACGAATTTTTCTGGAAGAGCAAAGGAGCCCAATCGCTGGCTTCTTTGCATTGAGGGATTTTCCTAGCCGTTAATTATTAACTTTTCCTTAAAATAAAACTTCCATTGTGCAAGGAGAAAAACTCCGTGAGCACAGTACATGTGATATAAATCACTTTTATGTCTGTGCAACAGCTGAGTTTACATTTTTATTACATTGTTTGAAAAAGTATCTTTTCATCTGGAAAGAATCAGTTTAAAATGTGATTGTCAACACAAAAAACCAGTTTTTTTGTTTAAAATGGCTGCCAGTGGAGCTAAGAACTATAATTAAGCCAGGTTTTTCTTCATAGACACTGGTTACTAAAACCTAGATGTTTTCGCTGAGATTTGTGAAAGAGTTTTCTTTACTTTAAAAAGAAGGTAAGGTGTTTTTGTTTAAATAGAGGAAGTAAATAACTAATGAACAAGAATACAATGGAAAGAGCAAAATGCTTCCTTGTGAATGGTGATTTAGTGGTGGAGTTTTAAGTTAAATTTAAAGTAATACGTGCATTTATAATGTGTTGCCTAACAGGACTGCTTTAGTTTGAAAAAATAGTTAACTTATTAACTAGTAACTGACAGCATAATTTTATTTCTAGAAATTTTAGATATAAATAAATCTGAGAAGATCTTCTCAAGATATACTACAGTTCAACTATAGTTTATTCTATTACAGGTATACATGAGTTTGAAAGCCTGTAATCATTTTCTTAGGTTCATTAGTTTCTTGCTGTTTATTTTGAAACGATGAAAAGGGGAAGGAAAGATCTTTTGGTGGTATTTCCTTGCATTTAATTTTGAACTGTATTATTAAATGAAAATTGATATATACCATGTTTCCTTTATTATTGAGATACACTGGGAAATGTAATAGAGATTGTGATTATCCCATGTTCCAGCATAGTGATGCCATAATATTTGCAGTTTTATCATACTCCAACCTTCCTAAATTCCTACTTTGAAAAAAATTTTTTTTAAATATCAGACAATCCTCATTGCATAACTATATGTGCAAGCCCAGTTTTCATCTTAAACTAGGATTCTGAGATCCAATTATTTTGTGGTTTTTCTAACAGAGAACTTATTTAGGCTTAAAAATGTTTTTGGAGAATAAAAATTTTCCATAATCCATAATTGAAGCAATTATGAAAACTGTTTAACCATGAGCAGAAGAGACCTCATTTTGAATATTTTATTAGTATAGGTTCTAGTGCTAAAGAATTTTGCAAAAAAAACTTAATCCATAATTATTTCTATGAGTTAAAGCAGAATGAACTTATTATTTCTCATTTTATCTAACAAGGACAGATGGCTAAACTGTGAAGGTGGAACGAGAGATAGAGATAATATGATGATATATAGATTTAAATGGTATAAAGTACTAACCCTCAAAAATTAGAATTAAAAATAATTGAAGTCTTTTCACAGATCTGAAAGTTTGATGATGATATAACTTTTTACTTTGGATCTTTCCTTTGAGCTAGTTAATAGTTATTCTGCTTATTACTTTTGAGTAATCAGTATAAATATACTTATGTCCTAAGATACCACTACACTTCAGGGAGAAACTTAACAGAAATGCTTCTGGATATGAGGACCAGTGGGTTTTACAACTGAATTAAATTAAATTTAGCCAAATAGCTGAATTAAATCTCATGTTGAAATCTCCTGACCAGCACCTTGTATGAAACCTTCTCTTTTTATCAGCTATCAATTTAGCTGGGGAAAAAAAAAATATATATATATATATATATATTCTAAAGTACAATAAGAAGGTAAAAGTTGGATCTTTATATAGGCAAAATGATATTTTTTCTACTTAACTTTTCATTTTCTATTTTCTTCTGAAACTTATTTATATCCTTTCTGGCTACAAATGTGTTTCGTTGCATGACAAGCCTATGATAAAATGAATGCTGATTATTTCTTTTGTGAGAGGATTAATAGAATTGAATTTTCAGGAAAGAATGGTGCTAGCAAAATGAAACCATAACAATTTTTTTGTATACTACTGGGGATTGAACTCAGGTCTTTTGCACTAAACTAAATCTGTAGTCTTTTTTTTTTAAAAAAAATTTGAAACAGGGTCTCCCTAAGTTGCTGCTTTACATATATCAAACTGCCAGTGATTTTCTTTAAAAAGAAACATCATGTTCATCTTTCAGTCCATCTTTGTCTTTTTTCGCCCAAACACACCTGCTTTTACCCCTGCCCCTTTAAAAAAAAATCCCTTAAGGATAACCAGATAGCAGAACTTCAAATGTCAAATGGCTCTTACTATTCATTTCATTGCATTTACTTAGGAGAAATTATCATTGTAATGTCAGTTAATAATATTAACTCCAAATAATTCAGCTACCTGTAAAGTTTATTTCTGTCATAAAGTTAATGTTTGTATGTATTTTACTTACCAGATCATAAATGAAATCAAGTGGACAAGATTAACAAATAGTTAAATGTTAATACATCATTGAGATAAAATGATACACAACTGCAACAAGGAAACATTAGGCAAATATGGATTTTTTTTCCTGTCAAGTCTGTATTTTATTTGGTTTCAGTAAAAATGAGCAAAACCAAATCTACAAAAATCCTGTTTCACCTGGAATTTATAAATTTGACAAGTCCATTAAGCCATAAATCCCGAGGGTTGGAAAAGAGATCTTTCCTAGGAAAGTAAAATAACTAGAAAAAAAGCAGTGACTTACTTTTCCTGAGGGCCAAACCAGTAAGACAAGTTTAGTTCTCTGGACTATGAGGTCTTCTTAGGAAAAGAGAAGAAAGACAGATGACAGGAAGGCACATACTTTCAGTATCAGTAGGATTCAAAGGTTTCCATCAGAATTTTACAGATATGCCCAGGTACATTCTTTGATTGTGAAATCAAAGATGCAGTGTAACTCCTAAATATTTTAGAGTATTACAGAGAATATTTGGAGCCTTTTTGTTTGGCAACAGGTACAGATCTGGGATGCTGTGGTCATGCGTGACTGAGAGGCAGCCTGGTGCCTGGACTCAGGTGATCCATAAAGGGGACGGGCTATCAGAGGTGGCGTCCCCAGCTGCCTGCCGAGGTGGCTCAGCCTTTCATGGTCGCTAGTCTTTGTTGAGAACTGTTGGCAGTGGCGGCAGTTTGCAGCTTCAGATAAGAACCGCGTTTAGCAGGTAATGCCGTCGATCAGAGCCCTGGTGACAGACTGGGGAGTGCAAGTTTTTTCAGGTATTCTGTTTGCTCAGTAATCTTTCAGTGCCAATCTCTCCCAGTGCCGAGACCCATCAGCGACGGACAACACCCATTAAGCTTGTGATATTTGTCATCTATCAGGTTACTGCTTTGTTTATTTCCAGTAGTGAATGGATGCTGTTATGCTTTAAGAAAGTAAAGCAAAGCTATAAATATGTCCAGACTTATAAGAGAAGCCGCGATATTTCTTCCATTTGTTGAGAAACAAAAGCAGGATATTCCTGAAACGCTCAGCTTTTCCCTTCCAAGTACAGAGCAACATGCTTTCTATTAGTGTTTGTAGTTGCTTAGAGTCCATATCAAACAAATTACTCTTACCGTATCTATAACCGGTTTCACCGTGGTTTGATGCAGCTGCGTTTTTTTGCTTTCCACAAGCATTCTGATTAAAACAGGCACGCTTGCAAAGAACTGTTCACAGAAAGTGTTTTCATTTGCACAAAAAAAGCCAAGCTAGATTTGGGTGTTAAAAATCGCGTGACACTGAAGCAGTTTCCTACGTCTTAGTGATCCCTGTGTTGAAGAGATGAGTGTCTGAATCACAGGGGTAAATAATTTTAAAATATTTCTTGTTGCATTTCAATAAAAGTATTTCTAGGAAATGATATTGTACTTAGTATTATTTTGTATGCAACATTTGCATCTCTTTTGTGAACACACTTCTATAATTATGTGGAATGATATTAATTCTGTTTAGTATAAAATGGGCTGTATATTCACTCTTTTCATCGTTCCTAAATTAATATCAACTTCTAGATTAATTTTTGAAGCTCTTTAAGAAGGCTTGTCCTTTTCGGAAAGCACTCAGAAATTGCATTCTAAAACTGGCATGTTAAATGTTTTCAAACCATTCTAATTTTCATCTACTGCCTTTGTTACTCTTTCCTGAAGTCCACTGGCTCCTCTTTTTAAAGAAAAGAAAAGAAAAATTAAGGGGGAAAGTCCTGATGCAATACAATAAATGGGGATCTCAATCACGATTGGAATAAATGACTGCTCCTTCCCTCTACCATAGTTTTCATGACCTTTGAAGAGATTCTGAGTAGACCATATTGCAAAGACCATTTCACTGATTATATTTTAATGGCCTCCTGCTTTCCTCCCATTCACTGGTCTTGATGGTTAATGCAAACTGCTTCAAGTACCTGAGAGCAGGTGTCTCACCCTGTGTGTGAATTCAGCTCATCCAGAGCCACTGAGTGTAGGAGCACCAACTCGGTCTCTGCCCAAAGCTAACTTCATTCTCAAGAGTCTTGATACTGCCTCTGTGACCCTCAAGCAGGAAAAATCCTACAGAGGACAGTGGCTGTGTGTGTTTATTTTATTGCCACAGGCTTGTAATTGCCAGAGAGGCGAGGGGCCTCACCTCTATGAGCTTTAATTGCTGTGAAGGCCTGTGGGCTGCTACCAAGCCCACAGCATGGCCAGGAACATTTCCTGTACACAGCCTGGGGCCTGGGGTACAGGGCAATATGCCAAACTCTTTCAATGCTCCCCCCATTTTTTATGCCACTCTTTCCCACCTCTCTAGATGGCCCTTAAAAGGCATTTTATAGTTTCAGGAACATCTAATCGGATGAAGGGGGCAGTTAATGCATAGGACCTTTGGCTCCAAGAGGAAAGAATGAGGCATCTCCCACTATTCAGAGGAAGAGTTTTCCTCGGAGATAGTTGAGCAAGCAATTAAACTCTTTACAAATTTTAGCTCTACCTGCAAGATTATGTTCCCAGGAACTTGGACACAAATTAGGAATAAGCTAGAATTCATTTAATGTGAATCTCTTGATAAATTTTCTCATGGACCTTTTCAAATTGGCTTGTTCTGAATGAACCTCTCCTAATTATGAAAATACGCAGAATATCTTTTAAATGTTACCTATAGAAAGAAAGTCACTTCTGGGTTGCATGCAAAATTTAGATTCCAAAATTCAAATATAAATTTTCTAAATGCCAGTTGATCAACTGTATTTGAAGAACAATATAGAGGCTTGAACCGTGCCAAAGAGCAGGGAAAAGGAATAACTTTTAATGAGTGCTGCCGCATTACATGATATTCATAACCTTTGAGGTAAGTTTTATTGTCCCCATTTTATAGGTGGATACTAAGTTGCCCAAGATCTTGCAGATAATAAATAAACCCAGGCGTGTCTGACTCCAGAGCCCATGCTTTTGCCTGTATGCCAAGAATCAGACCCGCAGACAGGTTCTTAAATTACTAACAATATCACATTTTCCCATGAAATAATGTTAAGTGATAACCACATTTTTTTGTTTCTATGAAAATGCTTCATTTATCGAAGTAAAATTTCAGTATCTGTTTCCAGCTGGTCTCAGGTCACATAATCTGCACATTAAGCACTTAATAAAGACTTGTAAGAGTCCCCCAACTTCACCGCAGTGGGACTTGATAATATAAACATGTAGAAATGAGAGCTTAAGCATCCATCTTCCACAGGTGTTACCTGTGCATGTCTGTTCTTGCAGCCTCATTATTCTTCTTGCAGAGTGACTTCATCTGGCCGTCTGAATGTGCTTTCATCAGAAGAATGCTTTAATATAGAACCTGAGCATACAAAGACAATCAGCTTCAAATTGAACTTAAATTATTCAGGATGCTGACACACTGATCTATATAACCTGTTCTTCATATTGTAGTTTTAAACCACATAACAATGGTAATGCTAATAATAATTTGTTTTTCAGTAGCACCTTTTGGCAAGAAGCTCAAATAGCTTTATGACTATTGTCTCAATAATCCTCTCGCCAACCCTTTGGAATAAATGAGGGAAAATGTATACATCTTTATCTTTCCCAGGCAGAAAGTCAGGCACAGGGAAGTTATTTCCTGAGTGACTGACATGGGGTTGTGTTGGATTATTAAGTGCATGTTGATGAACTTAATATACAGTTTTTGTTTATTTGCCTAGCTGCCTTGTTCAGCTTGATCTTGTTGACAAACCCAAGACCCAAACAAAATCAGAATTCCATGGGAAAGAATGAAACAACTGAAGAACATGTGGTTCAGCTGCTCAGCTTATGAACAATCACATTTATACCAAAAGAAGGATCTCAAATTAATTTACCAGATCTGCTCCTATAGGAGGGCTGAGTTCACTCCTGAGCCAATTTTCTTCCCTTGAGGGTACAGAAATAATTGAGCCACTATGCTGCACCATCTTCCCCTGGCTAGCACCTTTTGCGAGAGCCCCTTAGACCAAAGAATTAGTAGAATAGCTGATTAATCTATCTTTTCATGTGAGGATCAGAAATAGTAAGGATAGAGAACTTATGCAGAACATCCAGAAATACTTTTTAGCTACCAGTTGCAATGTTGTACTTCTCTGTTCCTTACATAAAACATTCTTTTTAAAAGGAAGTCACCAAATGCATACATTTTGGCATCCAGGAGTCTCTGTTTTCCTTATGTGTAAAATGGGAATCAGGGTGGTGGGCTCCCGAAGTAAGGTAGCAGATATCTGGCACGTGGTAAGGGCTCAATCGGTGTTTCCATTTCTAGCTGTTTCAGACTCTGGTGGAAAGAAGAGCAACACAAAGCTGAAGCATTCTAGTTTGGTCCTTTGTTTCTTCTCTTCTTGTCTCCTAGAAGTTATCTGGCTCAACTTAACTCACAGGTTCGTTTCTAAAAGGAATGATTGTCCTCCAATCTGGGAGAATCTGAGGTTACCACTTCTTTCCAGGGTCATTTGCAGCCCAGCTCTCTCAAAGCCTGGACAAGATATGGTCAGCATTAAGGCTGACGAGGCAGGGCAAGGTCAGCTTTAGAAAGAACGTGTGCTGCGTCAGTGAGGTCTCAAGCCATCCTTGCACAGAACCACTGCTATAGAATAGCCAGCTCTGGAATCTCTTCAGCCCCAGAGAATAAAAATAATCGGGGCCAGTGTCCTGGTAGCATGAAAATCATTCAAATTAACTGAGTGTGTAAGTGTCTCAGAATTAGTTTCTATCAGGAACTACTAAGCTTTGCTTAGAGGCCTGCCCATAAGATGCTTACAGTTCCTTGCTTATTGACCCCCCAACAACCGGCCTACTGGTGTTCTTAACACTCTACATGTCCCACTTCTCCACCCCCACAGCTGCTTCCTCACGCAACACCCTCCCCCTGGCTGGTGAATGTGAACCTTTGCAGATCACTCATGGGCATGCATAGTCAGCATGAGGGAACAAAATCCCTGCTAACCAAGAATATTTTATCCAGCAAGATTGTCTTTCAAAAATGAAAAAAAAATACAGACTTTCTCAATAAACAAACACTGAGAAAATTTGTCACCAGACTTTCCCTACTAAAAGTGCTAAAGGCAGCTCTTCAAGCTAAAACAAAAGAACACTAATTAATAACAGAAAATTATAACTCACTTGTAAAGGTAAGTATATAAATTCAGCATTGCTAATACTGTAATTATAAAAGTGTATAAGTCACCTTTAATTTTAGTAATCAAATCAGTTTGGTAATACCATAAGAATAGATACTGATCGATAGAACAGAGTCAGAAGTAAATCTGCACACATATGGTCAACTAATCTTTGAAAAAGATAAAAGAATACACAATAAAGAAAGGATAATGTCTTCAACCAGTGGTGTAGGGAAAACAGATATCCACATATGAAAGATCCTTATCTTTGGATCCTTATCTTACATCACACACAGCAATCAACTCACAATAGATTAAAGACTAAACTTAAGATTCAAGTTGTAAAAATACTAGAAAAAAATAGGGGAAAGCTTGTTGACATTAGTCATGGCAATAATTTTTTGTTAGGACACCAAAGCACAGGCAACAAGGAAAAAAATATGAAACTATATCAAGTTAAAATTTTTCTCCAGTGAAGGAAATAA